CCAAGAGGCCCAAAGTATGCCAATAAAGCATGAACCAAACCATGAATCTACAACCAGAGACCAGGACATTTGGGACCACACAGGAGAGGTGTCTTATTCTTGTGGATTTTTCCAAATCTGTCTTTTTTCCATCTCTGCAAAAAAAAAGGGGGGTACACATAATTTATTGGACTGCAACAACTTTCAACAGTCCTATTAGTCCAACGTCTATGGTCTCTACACCACTCAAGAAATTTTTCTTGTTGATAATTGAATGACGTGCTTTATGCAATGGTCTCCTGTTGCTATATTCCATTTGTTGTAACATTCTTTGCAAATAAAGCTGGAAGTGGGTTTGGATTGCACTGCACTGTATGTCTGTCATGTTTGTATATATTTTGATGATGTATGGATTTTCTCCTCTTTTTGTTATTATGTGTTTGCAGCTACAATTCCCTCTAACAAGACATTTTATTCAACTTTATTTTATTCTGATAAATTGGAATGATGGATATCTTGGAAAAGTCTACCAATGAAACTGTCTTGGCCAATGTGACACCTACTGTCATGCCTTCATTTGAAAGCTGCAATATCTTTGACTTTAGCCCCCCACATCTATCAGACTAACTGCAAATATGCTTGTCCCATTCATTACAGTGCTATATGGATTCACCTGACACATCATGCGATCAGCTTAATTTGCATCTGTAGCTCTGTTCAAGCCCAAGCCTGAAAGGTTACATAGTTAAAAAAAATTGATTAGACCCAGTATTTTTAACTTTGGGGACTTTATTCTGTGTTAATTTGTTACAAGTTTTATTTTAGTTTGAAATGATTTAAAACTTGATAACGAAGAACCCACTTTTTAGAAAACAAAGTTTGAGACGACTTGACTGGGTAATGAAAAACTTTATTATAAATGTACAATGTTTCGACAAGATACTGTCATCCTCAGGTACAAGTAGTTTACAGAGATACATGAGTATACATATACAGTATAATATAGGTATCTTAGTACCCTGGGATGTTGAATTTAAGGTGTGGCTGTTTTCTTCAATGAAGATAGCTTCTTTTATTTTGCATTTATTAATATTAGGTTCTTTATTTAAAATTAGTGTTTTGTATTGTTTTTTGAGTTGCAATGGTGGTAAACATGGGAGGGTTTTTTATATGTTCAGTGAATCTGGTTTCCATTTTTCTACCTGTTTCTCCAATATAAAATTCTGGACAGTTATTGCATGTTATTTTATAAATTATGTTGGGATTTTGCGATTCTATGTAATTTTTATTTAATAATGATCTTAGTTTAGTGCTGGCTTTTTGGGTGAATTTGATGTCAACAGGAAGTCTATGTTTGATGGCAAGTTTTCTACAAATGTCAGTTAGTTTTGAGCTGATGTCAGAGATAAGTGGTAAACTGCAGTGTAATGTTGTGTTGT